AGCCGTAGTCGGAGTGGGCCGGCATCCCGAGGGTAAGATCAGGCTGAGGGCACGCTGGGTAGCAATTCAGCACCATGAGTTGGGATCCGGCGTCGAACTCGTCGAGAGCGGAGGTTCCCACACCGAGGCTCTCGAGGACGGCCGCCATGACGACCAAGAACAAGGACTTGACGTGCTTGGCATATGAAGCTGCTTCCTCCCTGTAAGAGCAGTGACACGGCATTAGTAGCTGCATGCCATTAATACAAATGAGGATATATATGTTCTCGTCACCTCAAATCCGTGGGAGAAGAAGGCCAGTGTGGAAGAACAGTGTCGTGAGGATGGCAGCTCAGCTTCAAGAAGTCCCTCCAACAGAACACTCGATCCTTGGTCTGGTTGAAGCTGGTCCCGTACCTCACTGCGCTCCTCACGTCGGTCGTCATGTACCTCTCTCTCTCCTCGAACGGAAGCTCGAAGAATCTCTTCCCGACGTCGATCATTCTCCGAATAGCCTCACCATCTACGTCATGATTCACCACCTACAGCAAAAGACCATGTAGATCATTACATCTACGTGTCAACCTACAGAATGAACCCTTCACGAGTGCAGTTAACGCACCTGGAAGAAGCCATACTCCTTGCAAGCTCTGTCTAATGTCTCGAGGACGCTGGCGCGGTCGGGCGAAAGCAGCTGGCCGATGTCGACGACGGGAAGCTGGAGATTGGGTTTACGAACGGCCGGCGCGAGCTGGGGCCGATCGGAGAGGGGCAAGACGTACCTGGGAGGGATCCTTGTGATGCCATTTTCACAGAGGTACCTCACTCCCTTCATGGCTCTGTTCTCCACCGTTACGTCCATTGGCACTGCCTTGGCTCAACGGAGTTAAGTCGATAAAGTGGAGAAATGTGTTGAAGGGATGGGGAAGACGGTGAAGTACTTGTGAGGTTTATATACACAAGGCAGAAGGCTTGCGTTGGAGGTCGGCAGACTGCATGTCCATTGACTCGATGGTTGGTAATGGTGGCCGACAACCGGCGATCTGGAAAGTCTTCAGCTGAATGGGCGATGGCGCCTGCAATTTGATCTCTTCAAATCTCAATGAGAGAGAGAGAAAGAGAGCTTTCGAGGAAAAAGCAAGCATGAGACAAAACCCTACAACTCAGCTGGTTCAGATACAGAACAAAATGTCTAACAGATGGTTCTAATTTAGAGAAACTATGGAACCTAATAAAATTATAATTACATAATTATCATCATAAAGATAGTTTTTATTTTTGTTCGTAATTAATATGATAAATATTTCAAGTCAATTAAAAAACTCGATATGCGTAGTCAAATCACATGAGCTAAAAGAAGAATATAAAGTTTTATTCTTATTTCTTCCGTTGGTTGTCGTTGACTCGAGAATATTCAGATGATTTTATATGTGATATTTTGAAAAACACTTTTGACCTTTTTTTTTTTTTTGAATTGATTAGATCTACGATGGATTGGAATAAAATCTTCCAAATAATATAATATTGGATGCTTATGTGCCTCAACATCTTTACGCCGTGGCCTCGGGACTAATACGATTGGGTTTGGATCTGAATGATTGGAGATATTCCTGAACGACCCTTGAGACTGCTGAGGTAGCCGATCGTAACGAGGTCATTGTTTTCTCCGGAAGGGGACCCCTTGTCTGGGCCTTCGGTGGGAGGCACTCCGTCTTCATCCTTGTACACAGGTTGGGTCGGGAGAGCTCGGCCCGACCCCTCCAATGATCAAGTCAGTCGATAGTCTCAAGAGGTTTTTCTTATTTTTCTCCCGCCCTCTTCGTTCCGAACATGAGGGTTTTTATAGGGAAGGTCACTGTTTCCTGATGTGCCCGCTTGCAGGGAGCAAGGTCATACCTTGGATAACGTCTGACACCGGCATTGGCGTTGCGTGAAGGACCGGGCTCCTGCAGGATGATGATGTGCCTCGATCGACGTTTTGATCTGCTTCGGCCAGATGCTGTCAGGTCAGACCGAGGCAGACGACCCCTGCAACTCTTCGATCTGCGTAACCTAGGAGACGTCACCCGGGAGCAAATGAGTGTTCCATCATTATTATTATTACCCTTTATCACCTCTCAGCTTGTCTTTTTTTTTCTTTAAATAGATGCAGCCAAGTCACCAAGGATGTCCTCAAAACTTTTACTTTCTCAAAGGTTTCCTTTAGGATGTCTTTTATCTTCTACTCTCTCTGTTTCTGCTTGTCATCATCTACCAACCGACCTTCACCTGAGAAGCATGCAGCACACAATAACCAGGTTGGGAATGGGCACTTCAGGTAGAGCTTCATAGAGCATGAAAAGTTAATAGTACTCCTAGAACATGTTATTTTCTCCGACTTTTAAATTCCAAGCTGATGTGAGTACTAATTTCCCTTCCATGGAAGGCCGAAGACGCAGAAACAGGGTGGTCCTCTTTCTCCATTCGATTACCTGTGAGTACTAATTTCCCTACCCGCTCATGATCCGCAAGGTATCCTATGAATCCTGTAGGAGAAAATAACATATGTTCTAGGAGTCCTCTAACTTTTCATGCTCTCTGAAGGTCTACCTGAAGTGCCCATTCCCAACCTGGTTATTGTGTGCTGCATGCTTCTCAGGTGAAGGTCGGTTGGTAGATGATGACAAGCAGAAAAAGAGAGAGTAGAAGATAAAGACATCCTAAGTTTTGAGGACATCAACTTGGAATTTTGAATACAAGTTTAATGACTTTGAAACTCATGCTAATATTAATTAATACCCCTCCAAACACATTATAATTATAAATAAATTAACTAACTGATGGAAGTAATATTTGATGTTTGAGTTTCTTGGAATCTTGATTTATTTTAAATTCACAAACCATGATATATAAACTGCTTAAACATTTGATGATTTAAATTTTGGAAGAGATATACAAACAATGTGAATGCTGAGTCAACTGGATGAGTTCCATGATTCAACCAATCAACTTTCCATAATGTCAGCCAAGATAAATTTTTGATTAGGTGCAAAAGTTAGACCGTTGATTGCTGATGGAAATCCTACTCATTGAAAGATTATCCATCTCATTTGTGTTCTTTCTTGTAAATACATTCTTAATGGGATCGGATTCATATACATATCCCTCAAAATGTTAGCTATTACCATATTGCCTCGAACACTTAATATAAACCAACCCCAAAAGTAATGATTTTTTGTCATTTTGAACCAATTGAATTATATGTTACTGATCACTGCGTAGAACACACTCCAGAAACACCATCTACAATCCCTGTCGACGCATGGTAGAATGCCCCAGAACGAAGATTGACATGGTTAGGGTTAGTGTTAGGGTTTACATGAACTCAGCCTGCAGCCACCACCAAGTCAGTAATAGAAGCAACTCCACCATCAACCTCAAGAACACAAGGTTGCACGAGGAGGAGGAGGAGGAGGAGGCACTCTGCTGCTTCGTGGCTTTGTTACCAGTTATGATCCAACATACAAGAATTTAATCTACATCAGCTCCACAAATGAGAAACAGGAAGTACAAGTCAAAGTCGAATCTACAAATCAGAAACTTCTGAGGTCAACATGATTTATTCGCACTATTTTCTGTGTTCCTATTTCTTCCTAACAAGACAATACCTCCGGTCAACATTTGCTACATTTCCTTCTCCCTCTTTGTTTGTTTTACTCAACGAACATGGATGATCATGCACTTAACTCCTTAATCATTTATTATTATGACATCTAAAATATTGATTTAATAGTGGTATATCGTACCTATCTATCAAGAATTAGAGGATTCAATATCTCATCTAATAATTTTTTTTTATGATATATTATTTTTTAGGTGTACTATACCAACTTAGTTATCAAAGATTGAGAGACTAATATCTAATCAGACAAATTTCTTGATGAGGGTAGCTAATCTACTGTAATTTGATTGCAACAAATAAAAAGGCATTAATATTATTCAAAGTTATTATTTAGTATTCTACTGTATTTTTTCTTTATTTTTTTGGAATGACATACTCTTTTCAAAATTTCCATTGGGTTCTTATTATTTTCTAATACCTTAAATGTTCATCTTCTTTTTTCCAACAAAATAGTTTCAATCCATACTATATGGACTGATTCATAGGATGAGTTAGTCTAACTCGATGACTCAATCTATATATTATAATAATTTTAATTTTGGAAATGAACCAGACTTTACTCCTTTACAAAATATCTTATGAACTACTCCATCAAATGTGAATGGAAACTATTTTATTAGAGAAAAATAAGAGCGTCAAAAAATCTGAAAAAAAAATAAAAATCGTTATTTTTTCTCTATTCTCTATCAAGTATGGATCATTTACAAAAATAAATGGCATCTTAATAATTAATATACGACATAACCTTTAATAACGTTTGATTTCATCCCATGACGCAACATTGGACCGGACAGACCCTTCACAAGCGGACCGGACGAAGCGCCGCTTCTTATTGACTCGAGGCAGAGACCAACAGAAGATTTGATATGGCATTGTGTGGGGGCCGCGCGGACGCGTTCCCCCGATACCACAAATTACGACGCCCACTCTCCCACTTGGGGAGATGGTAGAGCAGCTCAACCCCCCACGTGCAATGGGGGCCGCTGCCCTAGGCCACGTGCCTTCTTGATCACCCGTCGACCCCGTCCAGGTAAGTATCGTTCTAAGTTTGCCGGAAGCCCTCTCTTATGCTTCTCCCTTATCCCTCTGTCTTCGTGCCTTGCCGATGTGGGACTAAATTTCTGCCTACGTGTTTGATTTCAAGCTACATTACCGCAGTTAGCATTGGCATTGGAAGAGTTAATACTCGTTTTGATTGTTATATTTGATTGATTGATTCATTTAATTTGTTTTGTTATGGTTGTTTTTATTTTGCCAAGACAGTTACGAATTGTTTTAAAAAACAAAACAACACAATAAAAGCAGTTCCTTTTTTTTTGTTTTTGAAAATAGGGAGAAGAAGACACATAAAGCGAGGGAGAGAGAGAGAGAGAGCAATCGGGTCGAATCCCGGAGATGGAGGTTTACTGGGTGATGCGGCGTTGGTCGCCCGCGAGATCCCTCGGCCTTCTTATAGCCGGCGTGCGTCCCCCTCGGCCCCGACCTTACATGGCGATTCGCTCAGGTCCTCCTTTTTATCGACGTCTTATTCGGATTCCATTCTTTCTGCCCAATTAGTGCTCACACCGTGAAGCCGATGACGGCGACTGAGGCGAGACTCTGGTTCTCCTTGTGCAGAGTCTTTCTGTGATCGGAGGCGGCGGAGGGCGTACGACGGGCTGCTGCTGGACGCCGGCGGCACGCTTCTCCAGCTGGCGAACCCCGTCGAGGAGACCTACGCCTCAATTGGGAGAAAATATGGTGATCAATTTGTATTGTCTCACAGGAAAAGAAATGGCCTTTGCTGCTGAAAATCAAGTTTTTATGAATTTTGTTCGTTATATGAATCCTCTATATATCTAGGACTGCTTGCGACTGAGAAGGACATAAAGCAAGGTTTCAGGAGGGCTTTTGCCGCTCCATGGCCGGAGAAGCTTCGCTACCAGGTTTTTGCAATTTGTTGTATTGCACAGTTTAGTGACCCTAATTGTACGTTTATCAAGTGAGATAGAAATGTGAGGGAAAGAAAAAACTTTTGGGGCATTGTCCAATTTAAAGAGAAGTTCTGCTTTTACTCAAATGCAGGGTGACGGGCGGGCATTCTGGAGGCTGGTTGTATCCGTAGCCACCGGTTGCAGTGATAATGACTATTTCGAAGAAGTATATGAGGTAAGGCGCGGTAAGGTTCTAAATTTATTATGACCCTTTTCAAGGTTTACTCTTTGATCGCAGATAAATGCAGCAGTGTTATTGGAAGAAATATAATGGTTTGTGTAGAGAAATAGTAGTAGGATTGCTGATGATGATCTTGAAGTCTCAACCTCAATTGATTTCAGTTCTTTAGGGTTAACTTTGTATTTGTGTCTTTTGGTAACCATATGAAATTATCTACAGTGACCTTTAATGTTTTATCTTTAAGTACAAATTTAAATTTTGTAGACTATTTATATGTATGAGAACAAGAATCAATTATACAGAATAGCAAATTTAGTAGGATGACACTATGCCTTAACCTAATTGGATGTATGTAACAAAAATGAAACTTACTGACTTGAATCACTTTAATGATATCATACATTTCATTTGGGAAATAAGGTCACTAATATTGAGGGTCTCCTCTATGTGAATTATTTAATTCTGTAATCATAGAGGTTTTGGACACCATAAGAAATAAGGAGTTTGTTTTGCTCTATCTGGCCATCTCTAATCATCTTTGATGTTTTTACTAAAAAACCAACTGAAAGCAAATCAAGCAAACCTTATTATTAACATTCATGCTAAGTAAAGCTTGTCCAATTCTAGAAAGGTGTTCTTTTGCTATTGTTGTCAGGTTCACTATTTTAAAGTATGCTTCTGTTCCGGGATGTTCTTACTGGTAGGTTGATTCATATGCATATCTATGGTTTAGTGATTGAAGAGGCATTTAATTAAACGTCACCTGTTATCCAATGGTACAAGTTTTTTTATGTAATATCATGGTTATGTCTTTCATCTTCTCCATTTATCTTGAAATAAGCCCAGATCATTGTCATGCCACAGGAAGTAGTCAATTTGTTTTAATTAGCTATACATCTTCTCTGCCAGCATTTTGCAAATGGTGATGCATGGCACCTACCTGCTGGGGCATATGAAGAAATGTGTTTGTTGAAAGATGCCGGAGGTCATATAAGCCAAGTATTCCCACCATTTTTCATCATCTTATCCCCAAACATTTCATTTTAGTGTTTCCTTACCATTAGCATATTGCATACAGTTAAGCTGGCTGTTGTCTCTAATTTTGACACCCGCTTGCGCAAACTGCTGAAGGACCTCAATGTTGCACATCTGTAAGTGATAAATCCAATTCCCACTTTTTGTTGGTCTCATGAATTTTTCTTCTGCGGTATGAAGCATACTTTAATTCATATCACTTGCTTTTCCTGTTCATGGGTTGTATATGATACCAATAAGGGTCATGTACAACCTGGATACTTCATGTAATTTTCAAGTTTTGATTGTGAAAGAATTTAATATTTCAAATACCATCACGTTTCTTCCCAGATTTTCTTTGTAGAGCTGATCTTTTGTAAGTTTTGAAATTTCAAATGATGAGCAAGATGGCCCATTGTCATTGCGTGGGGTTTTCTGTTATAGCCAAGATATGCATGATGCCAAGAAAACTTCTTTTATTTGGAATTATCTTGCATTTGAGACCTCGGTGGCTGGAAAACTAGACAGCCTACCCATTTGCAACGAGTGATCCAGCGATCCTGAAGCACAAACACCTAGGGATCATGGTTCCTAAAATCCGACCCAATCTCACTAGTCACTACAATGGCCTCAAAAAAGAAAAGGGGCAGTGGCTGCAAGAGACTAACGTAGCTGCCACATGCCTTCCACAAAACAATATGAAGATGAGAAGAGGAGGAGGATTATCCACCAGACCTCTGTCTCACCACACTGCCATTGTGACATTGGCTTCATGCCTCTGCTGTTGCACTATCAGGGGATCAAGGATGAGCCAAACCATAGGAGCAAATATGAGAAGGGAGATGAACTCCTGTGCTTTACTGGACTAAGATCCTTGATGCCATCAATTCACAAGTAAAAAAACAAAAAAAAGGAGAAGACAAGAAAAGAGGAGAGGAGATGAGAAGGATAACATTAGAAAACAGAAAAGAGAGTATGCGAGAAGATAAGAAAGAAATAACAAGAGAAGAGAAGAACGTAAAGAGAAAAAATAAGAAAAGAAAAAATAAAGGAGGAGATTTATTTCTAAAAATAATTCTAGTTATAATTGTTATTTTTGAATGATATATTTTTAATATTTATAAAAATTATATAATTTTAATATGCAGACATTTCCCAAGCACTTCATGCCTTTGTATTTTTAGACCTTGTCTCTTCTCTAAATCCACCTGCATCTACTCCTTTATGTCTTTGGTACTCTTTTTATGAATTTGCATTACTCAAACAAATACGTCAACAGTTAAGCATCTGGTTAGTACAGTTTCTTTATTTGATGAGACTTTAGATTCCTAAAGATCCAAGTATATGCTACCATACCTGAGCAGAGCTTTTTGCATAGTTTGTGGCCTCTATGAACGTTTTGCATGTACGCTGACGATTATTCTGCTTTGTGTACTAGGTTTGATGCCATCATCATCTCTTCAGAGGTCGGGTTTGAAAAGCCAGCTGCAGAGATATTCAGAGCAGCTCTAGGTACAAAATAGCTGTTATTTATATGAAGAACAATATTATACGTAGAGTTTTAGCTAACAAACTTTGATATACTTTTTAGGACTGAATTACTGATTTTGGTTCTATATTCTCTAGTTCTTTAGGTATGTCATCTTCTCACAGAAACGCTAGATGTCTGTCAACAGTTACTATTTACATGTGATACAACCATTAAGCTGTGAATACTTTTGGAAGAAAAAGCTCATGAACGTTTCTGAATGTAGACACAGCATTTCCATGTCTTGACAGTAACAAATTTTTAACATATATGGGAAACTGATGTGTTTTGTTTAAAAAGCTAGAGTTCACAGACAGATTTCTGATTCTCCTTTTATTTCTTTAAATTTCACAGATCAAATTGGTGTCCAGTCCAGCAGAGTGATCCATGTTGGAGATGATGAAAAGGCAGATAAACATGGTGCCAATGCCATTGGAATTCATTGCTGGTTAGTGCATCCTATATTATTTAACTCATTTAGCGGATCCTTAAATTTGTTATAGCTTCTCATCTTTAGGGGCTTTATTTTTCCAAAAGAGTCATCAATCACCACTTACTAACATGATGTGCTTTGGCACGTGAATTTCGTTAGCCACTTGGTGAAAGTGCCTGCGATTCTAGGTTGTATTATGTTCTTGTTTGCTCACTAAAACAATGTGCAATAAAAAAAGGGGCACCAACCCTTGATGGTTTTGATGCCACAATAGAAATTATGGTTTCATCATTAGTTCATCTGAAACATCTCAGCAATCTTGATTTCTTTCAGGTTGTGGGGATCAGATGTGAAGTCATTTGCTGAAATCAGCAATGGGATTCTCATACCAGATTCAGAAGAAAGAAACTGAGCTCTAACTGAAAGCTTGTCAACTCAGTTCGATTCAAGACACTGCACAACATTGTATCTTGTTTCACTAATAAGTTTGAAGTTGTTTTGACAATAATCAAGCTCCATTGTTCTTACATTTGCTAGAGAAATTGTTTTCCACTATGAACAGCCACTTCCAAGTGATATTTCTCAGGCTTAATACATTTAATGTAATTTCTTTTCTTTCTAAAGAATGGAATTTGTTGCTCTTCAACTAGACATTCATTCAAGACCCTTTTTTCATGTTGAATTAAGGATTACAAAGAGGGAGTTCTACCAACCATCTAAGAGAAGAAGAACAGTTGTCGAGGTAGTAGATTACAATAAAAGTATTTTTTTTCTTTGTAACAAAAATGGAAAACATTTCCTTCTTTCAAAATAAGTGTGAACAACAAAGCTATATGAACAATAAAAACTATTTTTTTTAAAAAGCACCAGTTAGTTTGACAGATAATTATTTTGTGAATTTTTGAGATTAAAACTTGTCTTCATAATTGATCTTTTATATAAAAATATATTTTTAAACTTAGATTTTGAATCAAAACTCGTCTTCACCATTATTTTTTGTTTAAAAAGACATAATTGATGTCGTCGAGTTTAATTTTGGATGATTAAATTTTAAACGACCAAAATTGGCTCTCTGTTTTTCTTATATATGTATATATATATATATGTATATATATATATATATATAAAATAGGCTATTTACTTATAAGAAGACGACGATGATGATGAAATGAAGGCGAAGAAGAAATAATAATATTTGAACCCGGTTTAAATCGATGGATAGATCCGGTAAGAAAACCCGATCCGCTACCACGCACGATTCGTTACGTTGTATGGAAGAGAAATCGAGGCCCAACCCAAATGGGGCCCGCTTTTCCTACCAATAAACTCTGACATCTAATGGCCTTTTTTAATCGCACTAATATCAATAAAGATTTACTGTACCTGTCTTAATATTGGAGATAACATTGGCTCCACTCTTTCTTTTCGAATAAATAGACAGGTAAATTTTCGGGTAATTGAAAAACTAGTTGTGAAAGTATTGCTCCATAGGAGCACAGCGACGAAGCGGGCACAACAAAACCCTAATAAATCATTTAACCGACCGCTCCCTCCCCCGTCGTCTCCGTCGATCGCAGTCTACAGGGAGTTGCATCTCCTGCCCCAAACCGAGAAAGACCTAATCCTCGATTCCATGGAGACTGAGTCGCCGCAATCCTCTCCTCCTCCTACTCCTCCCGTAGCTACCGTGAATCCTCCGGCGCGGCCTGTTTGCTGGACCGAGGTGGTGCAGAAGAATCTGACGCCGCAGCCCCAAGAAACCATCTCCAACCGGGTGTTCGGCAGCTGCACGTCGAGCAAGGGGATCTCAGTGGCGGTGGTCGACGCCAACGCCCTCATCCACGGGGACAAACTCGCCGGTTACGCCGACAAGTTCGTGTCGGTGCCGGAGGTGTTGGAGGAGGTGCGCGACCCGGTGTCGCGCCAGCGGCTCTCGTTTCTGCCCTTCCCTGTGGAGACAATGGAGCCCTCACCCGAGTTCCTCAACAAAGGTGAGATCTTTATTGGTTCTTCTCCTTTTTCCTTGTCCTGCAGTATTTCTAGTGTCGCCCAGTTTCAATGGGAACTAAGAGACGCACTTTGAGAAGACTTGGGTGAAAAGAAGTAATCTTTTATTGTTTGTTGTTCCTCTGGAAGTTCATATACATTATAGAAACATGAGATCCTTTTTGTGGCAGCTAAGTTTGATGCTTCTGTGATCCATGGCTTTGTGATATCTGCACTTACATTCTGTGGTCTTCGATCGCTGATGTATGTGTTGGACAACATTTCATGATTAACTTTCTAGTTTCTGATGTTGATTTCAATTCACATTATAGAATTCTGTTACTTTTGTATGTATATGTGTATGAGGTATGTAAGGCGTGCATCATTGACGTGCCCATTTATTTATTCATTTCTGTGAACCTTTCTAACTTGTGACTTTATTTCTTATGAGCTTAATGTACTAAATTTACATGACATGTCGCCACAACAGTTGTCAAGTTTTCTCGTGAAACCGGGGACCTGCACACACTTTCAGATGTTGACCTTAAGCTTATTGCACTGGCTTACATGTTAGAAGCTCAAATCCATGGAACTGATCATCTAAGGGACAGACCTCCTCCGCTTCATGTGGTGGATGTGAAGAATCTACCTGAGGCTCAAATGCCTGGGTGGGGTTCCAATGTGCCTAATCTGGCAGAATGGGAGGCCTTGGAGCAAGCAACTGAGGGAGGCACTAATCATAATTCTAGAATACTTGCACTTAAAGATCTGAATGATCAAGTTGAACCTGAAAACAGATCTGGTCCCAAACCTAATGAGCAAGATGATGAGCATACATCTTTCAGTAGACCCAGAAGATTTTTTGCTCCAAAAAAAGAGATCAAGTTAGAGGGAAAAAAGATGGTTGCAGCTGGAATTGATGCTTCTCAAGGTGAGAATACTGAAAATGCAGATGATTGGCTCCCTGCAGTTAGTCGAAGCACTCACAGAAGATATTTGAGAAGGAAAGCAAGGCGTGAATTGTCCAAGGCATCGGAGGAAAACAGACACCCATCCTCCAGTCGGGAAGCGGACACCGAAATATCTGAAGGCAACAATGTTCACTCTGATAGTGAGGAAGAGTTTGCTGAATTTGACAAACACAAAATTACTCAGGATCACTTTGAAAATGGGTTTTCTGCCAATGAAGAACAAATTGAGGGGGGCGTCGAAGATGTGAAATTGAATTTTGATACTTTACAGCCTTTACAAGAGGAGAAAGAAGATGACATACTCAGGACTGTTATAGGATCTGATCATACAGCAATTGAGGAAGATAGCTCAGGCAATGTACATGATTTTTTTCAAGGTGAAGAAATCAATGAGTTCAGTAAAGAATTGGATAGCCTAGAATTGAATAGTCAGTCTGATGGAAGCATTGATACAGCTGACATTGATGACGAAAGCAGTGAGCAAAGTTGGATGCTGAAGTCCTTATCAGAGTCAAGTGTAGCTTGTGTTACTAGTGACTATGCTATGCAAAATGTTATTTTGCAAATTGGTCTTCGCCTATTGGCACCTGGAGGAATGCAGATTCGTCAGATGCATAGGTATGAAGCTAAACAATTGATTTGATTTGTTAGTTTCTTTGTTTTCAGACTTTGCCATTTTACTTGCAATGTTTTTTGGGTTAAATTATCAACTTTTAATTTTCTTTTCCTGATGCATGGTCAGGGTTACTAAAACAATGGTGTAAGATAAGCTTAGTTGTCTGTCCTTGCTTATTGAGTAGTGTTAGTTAACATGGCTCTTGTGGTATACCAGACAAATGCTCTTAAAAGTACTTGGAATGTTACATACATTAACTGCAATTATATACAAACCAAGAATTTTAATTTCGAATAATACTGCCCACTATTGGGCGGTACTATCTATTGGGGCTGCTTCTGCCCTGTTACCACCCTAAATCGGTCGATAACGGTCGATTTCGATCGTCACCGCTCGCTAACGGGTGGTATTAGCCGAGGGAGAAGAAAGAAGAGGGAGAAGAAAAGGAGAACCTGGAGATCCAGTGTCGCTCTCCCTCAACGATCCTGATCCGTCGTCACCCTCCATAGATGAGACGTCGCCTCCTCCTCGTCTAAGGTGACGAGTCCTCGGTGTCGTCAGCGACTTCTCCTCATCCACACGGGGAGAAGAAACGGAGCGTCGTCGAGGCGACGTTTCTTCTTCCCATGCGGGCAGAAGAAACGAGGGGACGAGGCGACGTCACT